TTTTAGTTTCACAAGCAATGTCTTAGTTTAGATCTAGCTTTCTCAAACTGCTTTCCTAATTTAGTTTTTAGCTTTATGCTGCCATTAGTTTTAACTCTAGTTTTTCTTATTTTGTTATGAACATCTCCACTAATATATTTAGTTTCTTATAATTCAATTTACTACACTTTGCCCTAAATTCATCTTCTTAGCTTCTTTTAAGTTTAGTTTTATACTTCAGTTTTTATTTCAGTTTTTATGTTTTTATGCTTTTGCGACAGTATCACGCTTCCTCTCTACAATTTAGTTTTCTTGCCATACACTCTCTTTTTTCTCTTTTCCTTTATTTTTTTTTCTTTTATTCTGATCAACAAACTAAGATTTTGGTCATAGTTGTGGGAAGTTCCTGATATTCTTCTAAGGCAATTATTTATGGATCTTTATGTAGGAATGCACCCTCATTTCTACAACAATCGTCTGACTAGGGCACACCTCATAATTTATTAAACTAATGCTCTTCCATCGACTTACAACCGAGTTCCACGCTTGAAAGTAGTGAGGGTCGTTGGAAATCTCTCTCTCTTTCTCATTTTGAGCAAAGTGAGTAGCATGCTTTCGTAGTCCTCTTTGTCACGAGATCGGAAATGGAAATTATGGAGAAAACACAAACTATAGAATTTATATGTTGAAATCTATGTATGAAAATAAATAACTTTATCTTGAATAAAATACCAATACAAATAAATCGTATTCTATAACCTTATATCATTGTAATTTGCCTTGATACAACTTAACAAATCATTAAAACTATAATTCACAACAATCCTTAATACACTTTTAATATATATATATATATTCTTTAAAAATTTTCTTGACTTTCACAGAGTTAGTAGAAAATAAGAAGTATACTTTTTCTAAATACATAATTAATTTTTATAAATAGTTTATTAATAATTACAAATATATTCTTTACATCTAAATATAGATACTTTATTTCCTTATTAAAAAATATAATGCTAGAAAACCCATATGTTAAATCACAAATAAAGATAAATTATTTTTTATGAGAATTAAAATTTCACAATTATCTATTCATTCATTCCATGACGATAAATTTCCTTATCAATAGTCAAACTTAAAAACTTTGTAAATGAGTAATACAATCAATTTCAAGAAATTTAACACAAGGATATTACAAGATATAAGTAATGGATATATAAAACTCATGTATCTCTAATTGTGGCTAATTGTTTTAACAAAATCTAAAAATTTAATCTCCAAGTTGTGTTGAATAGCATATATATCATGTGCATGATAATATTTACAAAGTGATTTTAAACCAAAACATAGGAAATATGTTATATCAAAAATTTATTTGCCACTAATCATGCATTTTTTAACTTTCAATTGACACATATTTTCTTACTTGTACTTAACATGTATTTTAATTTCAACAAAACAAATATACATATTTATTATATAAATAATTGTTCTAATTTATAAAATAAGATCATTAATACATATCCTTTATGCATATATAATCATTAAATGGGATTATATTATCTTAATAAGCATTTCTCATAAAAGATCTAATATGCATTGTGTATAAATAATAATACACAATTAGAAAATAATAATAATAATAACAATAATGATAGTTGAAGAAAAGTGGGGTTTACAACAAAGAATTAAAACTCTAAGTGGACAATTCCTACAAATTGCTTTAGTGTCAAATCCTAAGATTAGAGGCAACACCTTTACGGTGAAAATCAAGTCAGCTTCGGACTCGCTTACAGTTGCTAATAATTGGACAAGTGTTGATATCCTAAGACCAAGGGTCAACACCTTTACCTAGTGGAAGAAATAAGCCTATGTCGGACTTTTGGACCATTATGTAATTTTTTGAATGCTAAAATAACAATACTAGTCGTTAAACTTCTATTGCCAATTTTTTTAAGCTAATTGGATTCCTTATTTGATTAGGATGCCCAACCCCATTCAACTCCTTTTCCATGCATTCGAATTCGATTGGGATTCCAAATCTCGAACCATTTTCTTTTTATTTTTTAAAATTGATTAACACAAACAAAATAATAAAATATTAAACAACAAAAAAATATAATGATATAAACTTAAATGTCTTTAAAAAATTCAATTATTTTCATACCACATAATCATTCATAAAAATTATTTTAAACACTTAAAATAATAATAATAATAATAATCAATCTTGAATTCAATGTCCAACTATTATTATGTAATTTTACTAAATCTCTCAAGACAAATTTGCACTAAAAAAAAAAAAATCTACTAAAGGATCAAATGGTAGTTCTCCCATTAATCATCTTAGTCACAATAACTTTTCTCAATTTTCGCCTTCTGCGTTTTGTCAAGTTCTTGGGCAAAATTTAAATGAGTTCAACCGTAGATTCATAATCTACAAAAACCCTAAATTTAATTGTTAATTAAACACATATATAACCTAATTAGAAAATCAAAATTGAGTTTCTTAAGTTATGAATTATATCTTAACTTTTCTATCTCTTCTTAACTTCATCCAAGAACAAAATTTTTATTTAATTCTTTAAGAATGGATTAAACAGTTGCAACAACAAATTTTGAAACCAACTAAACTCAATTTTAATAAGTAGGAAAAACAAATCTTAAACCTCAATTACTTGCCAACTAAGTTTTAAAAATTTAATCATAATTTACAATAAAGTAACTTGTTAACACCGAATCAAAATTCTAATAAAATTTTCAAAACCTACAACAATGAAACCAATGATTTCACTTACAACCTACTTTGTACCACATGTTGAAATTTTAATGAATGACATATGTAAAATTTAATTTACTAAGATCTAATAAACTAATAAATTACGTATCTAAATCTCCATAATTAATATGTATTCAAGAATCTTCAAGGATCATTGTAATTTGAAAACTTATGGCAAAACTTATAAAATAAATATACTTAGTATTGGAATTTAGATCTTCTTCTTATCATTCAACTTCTGTACAGTGTTACCTATTGGAGCATATCACTCCCTAATTCCATTATTATAGATGCAGAGTTTTTTGAATAGACAAGGGGATTCAATTTATTATAATAATCTTTTAAACACTTCTATCAAGTAGCTTACTTTTAATTTAGGACCCTATGTTTATTCATATCATAGTATATAAAATTTAGATAAAAACCAAACACCACTTGAATGACATAATTTTATTGGATTTTATCAATATTTTATTTGACTCAATTTTTTTAAAAAATGCAATTAACAGAAACTCACATAAAATTTCTAACAATTTGGTCATTTTAACACTTGCAAACAAGGTTTTTTATGGTCGAACTCGGGAAAACAATTTAAAGTTATTATTAACAGATAATTTAATAAACATCGTATCTTATTCTTCAATAAACAATAAATAAAATACATAATAACACACGAAAATAATTATGAGCTGTCTTAGTAATTTTAGTGTATACCTTTGCAGCACTTGTTTCATGGTTCTAACTACTGGAAACAGAGCTCTTACTTATAGAATTTTGGGTACTAATAACTAAACTTATTGGGTATTTTTTTAAACCCTGTTTTTCAAAAGAAAATTTCAAATCCTTGCTTTAGGAAGAAGCCTCAAATATATCTATTGCACCCTTCGTTCATGTTCTCAACTTTCTCCTTTTCTTTTC